CACAATCCATACGACAAAGTGTCCACTCATTCGCCGCACGAGTCGTACCCGACGTAACCCTCAATGTCAACGCCCGCCCGAAGACGACTTATGCGTGACTTTAAACGGTATACCAATTGTCCGATCGTTCACTCAATCACTGCTTTCGCTACTCATTCAACGCATCAAACAATCGGTTGATTTTGTGGTCACTTTCGGCACCCATTTGTGTCGTCCAGAAGTGTGTCCACACAACTCATTGTTTGATGCGTTTGAATAGCCATTCAATTGATGGCAAAACACAATCTTATTTAGTCTTTAATTTATAAATTACTGGTAATTAATGTATTGTTGATGTGTTTGTCTTCCAGACTGCAAGAGGACCCGCCGGCGGGTGTGAGCGGAGCGCCGACTGATAACAATATTATGATCTGGAATGCAGTCATCTTCGGGTCAGTTGTGTCCGCACAACGCTCTCCTTTTGATTCATATTAATATTGTTTATTGTCTTTGTTTTGATATGTTATGCATTGATTTGGTTGGCAATGGTTTGCGATGTAATGAATGGGTGCTAACTGTGTGTTTGTATGCTGTGGTGGTGTTGTAGTCCACGTGACACTCCCTTCGAAGACGGAACCTTCAAATTGACGCTCGAATTCACCGAAGAATACCCGAACAAAGCGCCGACCGTTCGGTTTGTGTCCAAAATGTTTCACCCGAACGGTAAATAAACATGAATTTTATGCATTCATACATTAATTGAATCATTCATTTCAATGATTGGACACTTTGTTTAGTGTCTGTGTTTTTACATATGATTTGGTGTTTTTTAAACGCCAGACGTTTTGCTTTTTTTCTATTGGTATTACATTTGCAGTGAATATGTTTAGGCATTAAAAACACTGTTTTTCCCATTAAAACAATGGGTTGTTATAGAGTTGGTGTGAATAACGATATTCCGGAAGTGATAAATATTGAGACCAATTGAGTGAATATATTATACAATTTTGAGTCCATTTAATGAGAGGATAACATTTAGTGTTGCGTTTATTTCGCTATCATTTCCTTTTGTTTAATTTAATGNACAATTTTGAGTCCATTTAATGAGAGGATAACATTTAGTGTTGCGTTTATTTCGCTATCATTTCCTTTTGTTTAATTTAATGCATAAGAAATCGATTCGCGAATTAATTATATGTGTGAATATCTCAGACTCTAAATATCATATGATTTCAATAATTAAATGCTAAGTATTTTAAAATAACTGCAAATTCTGGAGCAATAGTTGTGATGAATTAGTATTGTTTTAGAAGCGCCCATACGATGAGCCAAAGCCAAGATCAAGGCTTTGGGATTTTGCCCACATTTTACACAATTTTCTCGTATATACATGTATAATGAATAATGCATTTTTTAGAAAATTGTTTTTTAACATTTATTTCAAATAATTTATGCAATTCTGATAGCATTTGATAGCAAATACAACACAAACATCTACTGCCGAATCATGTGATACGGATATGTTTTGTTAACAAACGATTTGTTAACGCAATCAACATATTTGAAATGAATATTCATTTCATTTTTTATGTCACTAGTCCTTATGTGTTATGTTTGATATGTAGATGCCTTTTGATACCATGAATTGGTTTTTAATGTTTTAAACAATTTTTTATGAGACACACAATTATTGTGTATCTAATATATAATAGATTATGAGATAATAAGTATTTTTTTGATATATTTTTTGGAAACTTTTAGGTTTTTTCCATAATTGAGTTAACGATTAGATTTTTGTGGATTTAAATGAAAAATAATGTTATTATTAATAACTTATTGATGAGAGCATTGAATGCATTACTGAATTCTTACTGTTAACTTATTTATCATTTAATTTAATTATGGATTGAATTGTATAGAAAATGATTGCAGAAACGAGAGT